GCACCGGCTGAAACCAACATCCCGTGTTTTTTAGCTCACTGCCTGACTCTGGTGCTGCCTTGTCGATGAACAAATATCAAACGGAAGAACGATTTCACGCCCCATTTTTTGAAGTAGAGGGTGAGAATGCATTCGAACTGATGCAAGACGGAGCTTTCGAATTAATTGCCGTGTGCGGCTAACGTCAGTAGCCATTTCGGTCTTGTTAAGATGAAAAAAGTAGCAAATTGGAAACTTTGCCAACAAATCAGTATGATACTCATATGTTCTTCTAATCGTACATTTTTCAAGACCTAGACCCTGTAGACGATATGATTGACATTGGAACATTACGCGCGAGCTTCTCAAGAGAGTAACGTCATTAAAACAGCAATCGAAATGCAAAGTACATGGTGCGCCACATACGATGTCATGCAAATGAAAAATATGAAATAGTTGCATCCCTCAATAAATACCCATTGCTGCCAGTAGACAGTGATTACGAGGGCGCGGGTTCAAAACTGCTTGAACTTTTATCCACTGTTCGTTGGGCCGGTGTTTATTAGGATTACCTTACGTGACAGCGCAGAAACAGCTTCAATCGGAATTTGCAAACTGCGAATTAACTTCGTATGGTCAGAACCGTGTCGATATAAACAACAGGTGACTCACACATTGCCATCTGTAGTATGCCGAACCGGCGCTGGAAAGAGGTATAAGTTTTCTAAAGTGAGTAATTGATACCGACAGTGATGATTTATTTTACAGGTTTATTCATTCTATTAAATTAATTATTTGTACTGTTCAGCATATTTATTAAAAATGGATATAACTGCCCAAGGCACTATGGCGTCGCCGTTGACTCTATATTGCACTGACGCCAGTCAGTCAGTTTCGATGACCGCTTATCCTTTCGGGTGGCTTAGGCAGAGGTTTCATACAGTATTTCCAACGTACCCGATCCTGTGCCAGCGTTCGAGCCTTAGCGGAAGGTAACCCGAATCTGGAGCGGAATCCTTCGAGAAATTTTTCCCAGGTTATTTTTGGCCGTCCTCGTTGTGCTGTGCTTGCAGTAGCAAATAGTGCCTTCCG